CCCTGGGGCTCCTAATACTGTTCACGTCACGTCCTGTGTTCCGCTGAGGTAGGGGACAGCGACAGGAGTATTACACACGCGGGGTGAAGGCCCTGGGGCTCCTAATACTGTTCACGTCACGTCCTGTGTTCCGCTGAGGTAGGGGACAGCGACAGGAGTATTACACACGCGGGGTGAAGGCCCTGGGGCTCCTAATACTGTTCACGTCACGTCCTGTGTTCCGCTGAGGTAGGGGACAGCGACAGGAGTATTACACACGCGGGGTGAAGGCCCTGGGGCTCGTAATACTGTTCACGTCACGTCCTGTGTTCCGCTGAGGTAGGGGACAGCGACAGGAGTATTACACACGCGGGGTGAAGGCCCTGGGGCTCCTAATACTGTTCACGTCACGTCCTGTGTTCCGCTGAGGTAGGGGACAGCGCCAGGAGCATTACACACGCGGGGTCCCTGCCCTGGGGCTCCTAATACTGTTCACGTCACGTCCTGTGTTCCGCTGAGGTAGGGGACAACGAGTATTACACACGCGGGGTGAAGGCCCTGGGGCTCGTAATACTGTTCGTATCACGTCCTGTGTTCCGCTGAGGTAGGGGACAGTGACAGGAGTATTACACACGCGGGGTGAAGGCCCTGGGGCTCGTAATACTGTTCACGTCACGTCCTGTGTTCTGCTGAAGTAGGGGACAGCGACAGGAGTATTACACAAGTGGGGTGAAGGCCCAAGATGGGGTCACACCTGGACACCGTGAACTGCTCCCAGCAGAGCTTGAAATAGAGTGCAGCCTGAGTCGGAGCAGCTGAAGCAACTAAGATTTTCTTTCCATGTGTGTCCCCACTACATTCTGTAACCTAGATCATGTATTTTTGCTTGTTTGTTTGTTTTTAGGTTTTTTGCCATAGGGCATGTGTGCTCTCCAGAGAGACAGACAAACAGAGGGGAAGTGAGAAATCACCGCCCAGGGGATGGCCATGCCACAATCCCTTCTCCTCCACTCTTCTCTTGGAATTTTGGGCATGCACATACACACTCCTGGCATGAATTTCAAGCCACCGGGTCCAGGACTTGAACTGCAGTCAGCCATGTGGGAGTCCAGTGCCTTAACCACTACACCACACACTGGATCACCCCAGATAACACTGTTTTATGGCCCAAAGCTCTCAAACACTTGAGCGATCACTGACCACTTATTTTCTAAAAGGAGCCACCTCACTAGCATGTAACCCCCACGAGAAAAAGCATGGGCAAGCTCCTCCTACCCAGGATAAAAACCCCTGGTGAGAGCCCCAAATCGGTAATCCACTCTCGGGACCCCCTCGCTGCCAGGAGCTCTCTTCTTCCAGTAAACTTTGCTTGGCTGCCCCTCCTTTTGCTCGCTGCACTTCTAGTTCTTCATGATCATGAGACATGAACTCAGCAACCCGGGAATCCCGCAACACTGTGGGCAAGAAAGCCAGAGTTTCCGCCTCATCTTAAATGGAAGTTTTTGTTAGGAGATGGAAACTCCAAAAGGCTAATGGCGTTTCCCAAATCGGCAAGGAGTTTCTTGACTTTGAAAAAGAGAAGACCTTCCAGCGACTATACTAGGTCCCTGAACAACAGGAGTGTGAGAGACAGGCCTGGGGCAGAAGGCAACGGTAGGGGGAGGGGTGATGTGAAAGGAGGCGGGAGAAGGACTCGTGACCTTGAGATCGTAAGTACTGATTTCAACACTTGAGCCAACCATGTACACGGGGTCTTGGCCCCACGCTAGGGACACACAGGAGGCCAGGCCTTGTGCCCAGGGCAAGCTGGAAGACAAAGGACATGGCACAGAACTGGGCCACTTAGAGAGGAGTCTGGCAGAAAGTGAGAGGCAGAGAGACGCGATCCAGCTGGTGGGTGGAAGCCCACTTACCTCCCCCACTGGGAGGGCCCTTTCTAAGCAAGGATGGCCCTTCTGGAAGGAAGAAGGCCCAGAACCTGGAATGTGCGTGGGGCCCCCCAGTGCTGCGTCAGTCCCTTCCCCTTTCCCAGCCTTGTCCTTGAACCATGCAGCGCCTCAGAAGCTCCCACTGGAGAGTGACTGCCCAACCTCCTCTTTCAAGTCCCTCTGAGGAGCTCTCTAAAGAGGGTGCGCAGCATCATGTCCACTGGAAGTGACTATCATCACAGTAGCGGGGACAACGTGCTCATTGCTGGGCACTGGGCCACGGGCTAGCTGGAGCCTGACGGGCTCCATCTCTCAGGGAGTCCGACCTTAGCCTTTCCACAAGATAAAGTATGTCTTGCCTCAGCAGGTTGGATTTGCACAAGCAAAGTCGTGTCCTGAAAGTCGCTCACAGAAACCCAGAAATTGTGACAATTCTGGGCAAAGCTGGACACGGGCATGTGCCTGAACACACATGTATGTCAGACAGCAGGCCCGGCTCTCTCCCCGGCCCCATGTGAGGACATGGGCAGGAGGGAGGGGAGGAGCCTTGGAGGGGCACGGTACTCACTGCGGTGAGACAGCGGTAGGCCGAGGACAGTGTCCGGCAACAGGCTTCCCGGGGCCCCGCTCGTGCTGCAGCGCATGGAGCCGTCCTCGCAGTAGCTGCAGAAGGAAGACCAGTCCGATGGGCAACAGCTGCCTCCATGTCCTCACCTCCCCCACCTCCAATGGGCTTGCAGTCCCAGCTCTCAGAAGCAAAGCTTGCTAAGCTCGCTGGTGACATCCACGTCATTAAATCCCACAGAATATTTCCGGGTTTTAGTTCGCTCTCCTTGATCCTCTTCAACATTATTCACCCTGTCGACCACTCCATCCTCCCTCCTTCCTGGTTTTCCTCCTGCTTCCCTGGTTACTCCTCCTCAGCCTCAGCCGTGGCTTGCCCTCCTTTGCGGGGCCCTCCTTGCAGGCCTTCACAGTCAGCATACCCCAGGACCCATCCTGGGCTCTCTCGTCCCCTCACACTGTGCCATCACCCACACCCTGCCTCAATACAGGGATGACTCACAAATTTCCATCAGCTCTTTGGACTCCTTTGAACCCTAGACCCAAATATCCCACTGTCAACACGATTGCTTCCTTCGGTGTCTCAAAGACACTTGGGACTAAACTCAGCACACCTGAAGCTGAAGTCATGCTCCCCTAGCAAAGCCAGCCCTTGTCCTGGTGCCACCATCCATCGGTGTCACATCCAGAAAGCCCGGATCCTCCCGAACACCGCCTTCTACTCACCCTTCACACCTGACCCATCGCTGAGCCCTTGGCCTCAGGCTCCCACGTTGCTGGAGCTCACGTCCACTTGTCTTCCTCCACGGCCGTGAGACGAGACCCACCTCTTGCCTGGACAGCGCAGGTCTCCTGCCACCCCAGCACCTAGCCCTGCCTCTCTCCAAACACTCCTCTTCGCAGCCCGAGAGTCTTTTCCAAACCTAAATCTGATTAGTCCACATCCCTGCTTGAAATTCCTCAACAGTCCCTCAGTAGGCCTGAGGATAAAAGATCAACTCCCTAACAAGGCCAGGCCCCCATGACCGGCCCCTGCCTACTCTCCCTTCGCCCACCACGGCAATGCACCTGCCAGATGCCACGAAGGTGGAATCCGCTCAGTCACCCCCTGCCTCTCCCACGATGAGTACAAGTGTATTGTGGCCCATGGGGGGTGAGCCTGCGTAACCTCCGAGCCCCAGTGCACCGTCTGTGGAGCCGACAGGTACACCGCTCCCTGCAAACACGAGGGCTTTCACACACGACATCTCCTCTAACCACACATGCGCACACACACGTCACCTTGGCCCTCACCCACCTCAGACTGTCATAGCCCATGTGCTTCTCTTCCCAGGACCCACCACACGTGTAACTTCACAAGGGTGTCAGTTATTACCGGGCTGGCATCTGTCTCTCGTTGAACCATAACGCCCATGAAGGGAGAAGCCATGACCACCTTCCTCACCACCACGCTGCCAGCACCCAGCCCAAGACTGGCATAAAGCACTCTCATGTTCCCATTCCAACCCTCCCCAACATAGGCAACGACATCAAGGGTCTGTTTTACAGCACAGTGACGAGTTGACAGCAGCGTATCGTATTCTTGAAAACCGCTTAGAGAGTACCTGTCAGGTGTTCTCGCCACAAAAAAAGTGCGCGTGGTTACACAGATGTTAATTAGCCCCATGTAACCATTCCACACGTGTGTTTATATATATGCGTGTATGCAAACACCATGATGTACACGATAAGTATATGCAATTTTTATTTAGTAAAATAAATTTTTGAGTAAGTAGAGTGACGTGTCACCTGTCACCACTAACAGTGTACAGGAGACTTTGGCTCCCTGTGGTCCCCAGGCCACTGCTTGCACTTACCACATGGTGTGATGGTCCGAGAAGATGTCCTCGGGCTGGAAGAGCTCGCCATCGTAGTAACAGGGGCACTGGGCCTTGGGCACGCAGTCCCCCCACTCATCCAGGTAGAGCCCTGGGGGGCAGAAGCAGCCCTCCTCGCAGACCTCACTGCACTCCTCGTCCGGGTAAGACAGGGAGCGGCAGGTCAGGTTGCAGGGGTTCCCACACTGCAGGTACACCTGGTCCTGCGGGCAGCTCAGCGCTGGAAGGGAGGGACAGGGAGCATCAGAGGGGGCTCTGGAGCTGGCGGCTTGCTTTCTCACTTCCTCTCTCTCTCTCTTCCTCTCTCTCTCTCTCTCTCCCTGGTGAGTGCATATACCCTATAGCAAACTTTAAAAATAATTTTAAAATTAATTTTAATAATCGAAATTAAATTTTCAAAAATAGTTAAAAAAAAAAACAAAAAAGAAGACTGGTAATAAAGACGGAGAGCCCTTTCAACCCACTGAGCTCCTAAAATCAGGGCACAAGCCACTCACTAGCACAGCTGGGGCTGAGCATTTATTTTTCCTGACAGACTCTCTAGCACTGGCTTGGGGCCCATCAGACTCATTTTCCAGAAGTACTGCACAGCTCAGCTGCACACATGATGTGGCCCCAGAGTGCGGGGTTCGGGATGCAGAGACAGGAAGACGTGGTCTTGCCTCGAGGAGCCTGTGGACTTCTCACAGAGGCAACTTAGCCAATTCACAAGGGGAAGAAAAAGAGCTTCTCCTGACCCTCCCAGCACCCCATAGTGTGGTTACCAGCTAGGTCCCTCCTCCACGAGCACCCCCACTTGATGCAACCTCTTCTCAGGGGGACTTGTGGTTTGGGGAGCTCCGTTCATTTTCCAGGGAGGGAAAATGAGATATGGGTCAAAGAGGCCTCTGACCTGAGCTCCTCTCTCAATCAAGAAAGGATGTTGGGGGACCAGCAGTAAGCGTAACGCCTATGTCGTTGGACTCCCATGTAGTTGACCACGGTTCACATCCCCAACCCGGTGGCTTAAAACTCACGCTACATGCATGTGCGTGTGCACCCAAGCTCCCGAGAGGAGAACAGAGAAGAGATTGCAGCATGGCCATGACCCCCTGGGGGGTGATTTCTCGCTTTCTGTCTCTCTGTCTCTCTCTGTCTGTCTGGCGAGCGCACGCGCCCTATAGCAAAAACCTCTCCAAAAAAAAAAGGGAACAGAGAGAGTGGCAGTATTGTCTTGTTCCAGTTTTTAATGAGAAGCCTTTCAGTTTTTCCCCATTCAGTATGATGTTCACAGTGGGCCTGTTGCATATGGTTCTTACTGTACTGAGCAATGTCCCTTCTACCCCTATTTTGCTGAGAATCTTGACCATGAAGGGATGTTGTAGTTTAGCAAATCCTTTTTCTGCATCTATAAATGTGATCATATGAATTTTTTAAAGATTCATTTAATTTTATTCATTCATTCATTCATTTTAACTTGACCAGAGAGAAAGAAAAGTGAGAAAGTAATCCACCAGGTCTGAGACTCTGGCCCAGCCCTGTGGGAGTATCCAACACCTTAACCACCATGCCACCTGCTGGTCCCCTATAATCATATGACTTTTATCTTTCTTTCTATTAATGTGGTGTATTATTTAAAACATATATTGAGCCATCCTTGCATGCTGGGATAGAGCCTACCTGGCCGTGGTATATCATCTTCTTGATAGTGCTGGATTCAGGTTGCTAGTATCTTGTTGAAATTATTTATATCAGTATTCTTCAGGGATATTAGTCTACAGTTTTCTTTTTTTTTTTTTTTTTTTGGTGTTGTCTTTGTTTTCTTTTGGTATCAAAAATAGAGGCTTCATAAAATGAGTTTGGGGAGATTCCTTCCTTTTACATCTTTTTTTTTTGGGGGGGGAGAGGTTTTTGCTATAGGGCGCGTGCGCTCGCCAGACAGTCAGAGAGAGACAGAGAGACAGAAAGCGAGAAATCACCCCCCAGAGGGGATGGCCACACGGCAATCTCTTCTCCTCCATTCTCCTCTCGGGATCTTGGGCACGTACGCACACGCACCCGGCATGAGTTTTAAGCCACCAGGTCTGGGATGCAAACCGTGGTCGACTACATGGGAGTCCAGCGACATAGCCATTACGCTAACTGCTGGTCCCGTAAATCTTTTAAGAATATTTTTAGAATAATTGGAGTTAACACTTCCCTAAAAGTTTTATAGAATTCAGAAGTGAAGCCTTGCGGACCTGGCTTTTCTTTGTTAGGAGTCTATCACGGTTTCAGTTGCTTCACTTGTTACTGATCTATTCGGCCTTTGTATTTCATCCTTATGCAACCGAAGTGATTTATATTTGTCCAGACATGTGTCCGTTTCATCTAGGTTTTCTAGTTTGTTGGCATATAGTTGCTCCTGGAATTCTCTCATAATTTTTTGTATTTGAAATATCTCAGTTGTAATATTGCCATCTTTGTTACTGATTTTATCTATCTGGTTCCTTTGTTTTTCTTGATGGGTCTAGCTAACAATTTATTGATTCTGTTTGCCCTCTCAGAGAATCACATTTTCTTTTTGCTGATTTTTGTATAGTTCTTTGGGTTTGCTGTTGCTGTTGCCTTCCCAGTTCTTTGAGATGCAATGTTAAGTTACTTATTTGCCATCTTTCTGCTTTTTTTCCGGTGAGTACTGATGGCTATAAACTTGCCTCTTGTGGCTGTTTTTGCTGTGTCCCAAAGGTTATGGAGAATAGTGCATTAACTGTCACTAGTTTCGATGAATGTTTTGATTTCAGTCTTAAATTCTTCAGTCGTTTGAAAGTCATTCAGGAGTAGATTGTTTAGTTTCCATGTTTTTGTGTATTTTCAAGGACTCTTGGGAACCAGCAGTTAGCGTAATGGCTATGTCGCTGGACTCCCACGTAGTCGACCGCAGTTCGTGTCCCGGACCCGGTGGCTTAAAACTCACGCCGGGTGCGTGTGCGTGCGTGCCCAAGATCCCGAGAGGAGAAGGGAGGAGAAGGGATTGCGGCGTGACCATCCCCCCTGGGGGGTGATTTCTCGCTTTCTGTCTCTATGTCTCTCTCTGTCTGTCTGGCGAGCGCACACGCCCTACAGTGAAAATCTCTCAAAAAAAAAAAAAAAAAAAGGACTCTTTCTGTGTCTGATTCCAAGTTTAATTCTGCTGTGGTCAGAGAAGATATTGGGTTAATTTCTGTACTTGTAAATTTATATAGGTTTGTTTTATGGCCTCTGAAAATATTGATGTTGAGATGAGGAAAAATACATATTCTATATATATTTTTATTCTATATTCTATAGTTGCTGGAAGGAATGCTTTATGTCTGTCTGTCAGGTCCATTTGGTTTATGATATCAATTACTTCCTTAATTTCCGTTCCTTTCTTCATGAGATCACTTAGACTCAAAACATGAGTTGGCTCATTAGGTCTCAAATACGGACCCTCTGAAGTCCCCTACCTAGACTTTCCAAATGCATCAACTTTGCCCTGAAACTAGGAATGCCCTACGCTCACAGAGTGTCCAGTGGGCTCTTAGGCCTCACTGCTATGATTCTAGTATTGGAAACCACTCTTTTCTGCTAAGAAAGCGTTTATTGCTTGTCTGTTCATTTGTTTTTCTATAGGGTCCATGTACTCACTGGGAGAGACAGAAAGAAAGAGAGGGAAAGTGAGAAATCACACCCCAGGGGGGTTGGCCAGTCCACAATCCCTTCTCTTCCATTCTCCTCTTGGGTATACTCACACACCCAAAGTGTTTTTCAAGCCACTGGGTCTGGAACTCAAACTGCACAATCAGCCATGTGGAATCCAACCACCTTCACTACCACACCATTTGGCTGGCCCAAGAAAGCATCTTTTTTAAGGTCAAGTGCACCTCCTGCAGGAAGCCTTCCTTGGTGGTCCCTGTCCTTCATCGAATCTTTCTTTTACTCAGGCACCTCCACTAGAAAGTGAAGGCAGGTTGTATGTGTGCCTCGAAAAGGAAGACAGGAGTACAACCTCATCACTACTGCCTGACTGCTCCAGGCACTCAGCAATTGTCCCCAGACCAACAACAGCAAAACAGTGGGCATGACCCAGACACTCAGGGACCGGAGTATAGGAGCAGATACCAACTCTGGTGCCAGGAACCCAAGGGCAGAGGAAGAATCTAAAGCCAACTGGGTGCAGTGATGTAATCCGACCTTTTGTAACTTTGTGCAGTGCCGGGGATTTGGGGCAGCTGTCTAGATGGTCTGTACAACGCTGTAAGCGGAGGACTTGCGGTGCATTTCCCACTGCCCTCAGACCCGCAGGAGTGCCTAGACCCACTCATCCTGCAGCCTGACCATGCATGGATTGAACAGCGGGTCGCAGTAGGCATGGACAGTCTGCCTAGCAGGGACCCCAAGGTTCTAGGTTCCTACCTGCCCTCTGGAACAGGCCCGAGGGACCACCCAGCGCGTGGGAGAGCCAGGGCCCACCGCTGTGCCCTACTGGGAGGAGGAAGGAAGACTGGCAGCAAATGAACTATCCTCACGACCCCTGCTTGTCCAAACGCCCACGAGCCCCTCTGCAAATGAAATAATGCAGAGAAGGTGCTGGAACAGAACAAGGGGACTAAAACCACACGGCCGGCGGGTAGTGAGGGCTCTTACCACAGAAGCCAGGCTCCCGCCAACCGATGCGCACGCCCTTCCGGGCACAGGCCTCGGCATAGTTGGCCACGGCGTTGCACAGACAGTCTCTGCCATCCGAGCAGGAGCAGACGTCATAGCGGCAGTTCTGCAGGTAGGGCAGCGGGCTGACAGCGTGGTGGCAGGCCTCGAATGTGGAGGACGTCAGGAGCGAGCATGCCTCCTCCGCAAACCTGGCTGTGAGGGAGAGAGGAGTGAGCCCAGGGAGATGGGGCAGGGGCCTGCATGTCCTCCCAGGTCAGCCTCCTGGAGAACTAATCCTCTTCTTAATTCAACAGGAAGGGTCTGAGGGTGAAGTGAAGGACTGAAAGGTTGCCACAGACTGGTCTGCAAACGATCCTGCATCCAGTTATCTCAATTCTGCCTGTGTGGCTGCAGCTGGGGGAGACTGGAAACGCCCAAGGGCAGGAGTATGTACCAAGCTTTTTTTCCCCAGGGTTTGGCCCACAGGAAAGACACCCCATGAGAAGATGTTGAAGAGTAAATGATCCAAAACAGAGAATCAAATGCTGAAGGTGAGGGACCAGCAGTTGGCTTAATGGCTATGTCGCTGGACTCCCATATAGTTGACCGTGGTTCGAGTCCTGGACCTGGTGGCTTAAACTCACACTAGGCACGTGTGCCCAAGATTTTGAGAGGAGAAGGGATTGCAGCATGGGCATCCCCCCTAGGGGGTGATTTCTCACTTTCGGAACGCACATGCCCTATAGCAAAAAACTCTCAAAAAAAAAATGCTGATGGTGAAAACAAAGGCCCAGCCCAAACCCTTGCTCCCAGCCCTCCCCAGGATGGGTGCAGGTGCCATGGAATGCCCTGGACACGAGGGAACGCCCCACTGGCTGCATACTCAGGCGCGGGTTGAGGCTGCAGGGATCGCTGTGCTGCTTCTGCAGGTCTTGGCAGTCCGCGTGTAGCTTCCAGGCGTTGCCAAAGTCCTCCACCAGGGGCTCCACCAGGCCGGCGGGCGTGCGGAAGTCATCGCCCTTGTTGCCGTTGTAGTTTCCACACAGGCCGCAGGTCTTCCCAGAGTAGGTGGGCGACAGCTGTGGGAGAGGCCAGCCCGCCCTGGAGCAGCTGCCACGGGGCAACCACGGGTTGCTTTGCTACTAAGATGGCTTCGATGGAGAGTTCCCAGGTGAAACATAAACATGAATTTAATAAAGGGCAGCTGAGCCCTGTCTGCACGAAGGGAAACGAAGCCCACTGCAGTATATACTTACCAGCTCCTCCCTGCTCTAACACCACTCCGCAGACACCTGCCCTGCTACAGGGATGCTGGCTTCTCTTGTTTACACATGGGGAAACTGAGGCCCGCAGAGGGAAAGTGACTTGTCCAAGGCCACAGGGTGGTGGTGGCCGGGCTGGGACGGGTAAGCAGGCTGCGCCCCAGCCAGTGTGCCCCCACACCCAGGCCCACCACAGGAGACAGCGCCGATACCCAGGAGCACCGAGTGAGAGCTCGCACACTGCTGTTGACCCTGACATGGGGGCGGGCCAGGCAGGCTGAGCGGGCGTGGCCTACAGCCCTCAGAGCGCACACATGCTAACCGGGAACAGCTTCCTTCTAACTGCGCCCAACTCAGCCCCTGGGCATCAAGGAGAAAGACCTGACACAAAGAGGACTTGTGGGGTTACGGTCCAGCAAATGGAGGCAGGGAGGACTCAGGTGGCCTGCCTCAGGGATGGGCAGGGTGCAGGGCTCAGACCAGTCGTGTCGTTCTCCCCCATTGGCCAGCCATCGCTCCCTCCCCCACGCTCAAAAACTCTCTTCCCCATCCCCGCAGCAGGTCAGCTGGATCAGGGTTTAGGGGAGGTGGTATCCATGGACGCCAGACCGAGGCTGGCCCAGAGCCCTGGAGTGTCTGAGCTCAGGACACCCAGAGAAGACACTCACTGCCTGAACCACACCCAGTCCAGGCGCTTCTGTGTGCCACTCGGCCACGCTGAGCTGGGCCCTGCCTGCAGTCTCGCTGGCTAGCAGGGAAATAGCACAGTTCCGCTGACCAGGGCCTGGCTACCCGGACCATGGCCACAGGGACAGACACTAAAACTGAGGCCAAGTGGGAAGGCGACCAGCAGGTCCTGGCACCACCTCCCCCTGCCGGCCTGCCAGCCTCAGCTACCTCCTCCCCAGCTCCCATTCCATCACAAGCAGCCCTGTTCTTGCTTCATACCAAACCCATAGGCCCATGTGACCCCATCCTGTATCTTGACCAAGGGAATCCTCTTGTTAACTAAACTGCCAAAGGCCACCGCCTACGGAAACCCTACACCCAACTCCCACAGGAAGCAGCCTCAGGGCAGAGGCCAAGAACAGACTCCTGAGAAGGAGGAGGCTGGTCAAGCCCCCTCCTGTGACCCAGAGTTGCCATAATGCGGACTGCCCTACAGAGCACTCCCTTGGAGGCCACGGTGCAGGGAGACATCAGACAGGAACCAGGAGACCTGAGTTCTAGTCCCCAGCCTGCCACCAAAGGACCAGGAGACCCAGGGTAAGTTATTCTCACTCCAAAGCGGTGGGTCTCTATTTCCAGCTTGAAAGGGGTGTTGGCAAGAGGATCTCCCAGGCCTTCCTGCTCTGTGGTCCACGGTTGGAGGACTGTGTTTTATAGAAGAAAAACGTAGGGTGGGGGGGTGTGGTGGTTAAGGCGCTAGACTCTCACATGGCTGACCGCAGGTCGAGTCCTGGACCTGGTGGCTTGCTTTCTCACTCTCTCTCTGGGTCTCTCTTTGGTAAGCACATGTGCCCTAAAGCAAATTTTAAAATAATAATAAATAAAGTTAAATAAATATTTTTCAAAAGTCGGGTAAAAGGTTATTTGGAACTCCCCCCAGGGCTCTAAGAAGAGAGAAAGAGCATGACTGATGGGAATGGAGGAAACCAGGGTCTCATCAGAAATGCCGACACCGTTGGGACTGCACCAAGGGCCCCCGAGCACAGGACCCAGGGTGCAGACGGGCTCCCCAGGGCTCCCCGGGCATGATCTAGGATCTAGGACAGTGCTTCTCAAAGTGTGGTCGTGGTACCCACAGAGGTCCCCAAGGACCTTTCAAGGGTCTAGAGGCCAACACTACCTTCACACTAACAAGAAGGCAATGTTTCCCCGTTCCCTTCTCATTCTCTTACAAGTGTTGGGTTGCTGGAAAAGTCAGGCCATGCGTTTTCTATGTTTTTCTATACAAAAATATGTCATGACTTTCCCAACAACCCAACATATGGTGGAATTTTCCAGAGAGTACATGACTGACACAATATTGCAAAAGATAAATGCAGAGCTTGATAAGAGAATCCAGCTGTCTTCTATTATATTAAGGTGGTCTTAAACACATTTGCAAAAATGTACAACAATGCTATTCTTCTATTTGTTTTCTTTTTTTCCAAAAAGGATACTTAGGAACCAGCAGGTAGCATAACAGTTATGTCAGTGGATTGCCACACAGTTGACTGTGGTTCGAGTCCTGGACCCAGCAGCTTAAAACTCACGCTGGGCATGTGTGCATGCATGCCCAAAATCCTGAGAGGAAAATGAAGAAGGGATTGCAGCATGGCCATCCCCCCAGGGGGATGATTTCTCGCTCTCAGTCTCTGTCTATCTCTCTGGCAAGCACATGCACCCTATAGCAAAAGAGCTCTCTAAAAAAATAAATAAATAAATAAAAAGGGTATTTATATTAATGTGTGGTGGGTTTATTATTGTTATTGTTAAATGCATTAATAAATACATACCTTAGATGTCTGGTTTAATTTCTAATCTGGTAAATATTAATAGATATAACCCTCACAAAAGATTCTGGGCTCTTCAATACTGTTTCAGAGTGTAAAGGCATCCTGAGGCCAAAAGGTGAGAAGAAGGGTTAGCAGGTGGCTGGATGCTAAATGGCCAACTACAAGGTTCGAGGCCAGGACCCGCTGAGCAGGCGCATGTGTATCAGCCTAAATCGCTGGAGACGAGGTTGTGGCACGGCCATCCCCCTGGAGGGGACTTTCTCACATTCCCATTTCTGTCTCTTTCTCTCTCTCTCTCTCTCTGACAAGTGCACACACCCTATAGCAAATTTAAAAATAATAATAAAAGTGAGAACCACTGGCTTAATGTCCTAGAAAACACCAGGCAGAGAGCTGACCCTTACTCTGCCATGACAGATCATGGGGTGCTGGGCTGTCTCTCAAGTTCCCTCTGCCATGGGGGCCTCACTTATCAAAGGGCACTAACACCTGCATCGCCCACCTGTCAGGACACTCCAAAAGAAACCATGTATTGGGGCCAGCAGGTGGCATGGTGGTTGAGGATGCTGGACTCCCACATGGCTGAACTCAGTTCAAGTCCCAGACCTGGCGGCTTGCTTTCTTACTTCCCTCTCTCTCGCTCACTCTGTTCCTCTCTGGTCAAATTTTAATTAATTTATTTATTAATTAAAAGTTAAATAAAATAATTCTTAAAATTTTTAAAAAAAGAAAAACCAGAAACCATGCTTATGGAAGCCTGCTCAAGGTATGGCTTGCTATCAAGGTGACTCCGACCCACAGAACGCGAGGGAGTGACCTAGATAGCAGAACAGCGGCCTTTGGATCCTGCTGCCCAGAGGGCACCCCGGGGACACACCCTGCTCCCTCCCGTGACAGCAAACCTGCCCCCTTCTCAGCCCAGGAGATCCCTTGGGACTCCCGAGCCCCAGAATCCCCAGGGAGAGAATCCCCAGGGCCAACAAGAGACATCCAGAAAACAAACAGCAGCTTCTCCCAAACAAGAGCGGCCTGTTCCACGCCCTGGGGGTGTAGGCCCGAGGAGAAAGGGATTCTTCTCCCACCACACAAAGCCCTTCTGCCTGGAGCACAAAGGCCACTTTGTGCACGTGGCCACCGGCAGGCCGGCAGTGGGGACTGGGCCTACCTTTACCAGTAGCCTCCCGCGGCCATTCCAGTCCATCTGCAGGTCCTCCCCGTAGCTGAGGCGCACGGAGGCTGTCACTGTGCGCTGAATGCGGAGGTCACCTGGAACCCAGGAGGCCAGGATGAGGTTTAGGCTGAGGTGGGGACGGGGTGTCTCGGAAGGACTGTAGCAGCAAGAACCAATGAGTTGGGGCAGATGAGGGTCCATGAGGCCTAAGGGGGTTCTCGAGAGAAAGGGTGATGGGGGTGGAGGTCAAAGGGCACATAGGTTTCCTCTAAGCCTCTGCTCCCTGGCTGTAACCTGATCTTCCCCTTATTGCCACATGAGGGCGGCAGAGACCCTGCAGCCTCAGTTTCAGGCGGTGCCGGCGCGGAGGGATCTGTCTACCCTGGAAGGAGCTGTCTGCGTCCATCGGCCGGCCTTGCACGGTCGGTACTTCTGGGCTGAGTTTCTCAGTCGTCCCGGCTGAGCGATGCTGCGTGCAAAGCGGTTCTCACTGCTGCGAGGAGGGTGGGGACCAGACGGGAAGCATACCCCTTGACCCGGAGGAATATACTTTATCATGGGGGATTCATAAGCACGTACAACTGCTCGTGGACACACTGCATACCCCAGGCCCAGTTCATCCGCCATGTGCAATGCTAGGAAGATGGGCCTCACAGTCACGGAGCAGGGGGTATCCGAGAGCCCCGGGGGGAGGTTTGGAGTCACGCTGCATGGAAGCAGCTTGGCTTTCACAGGTACGGGGCGAGCTGGGTGAAAACACTGAGCAGGAGGGAGGTTTTTCCCCACCAGGCAGAGTCACCTGACTTGTTTCAAGTGGCATCCTCTGGTCTCACCCACCCCCAGCCACTCCTGCCTCTCAGCATCCCCTTACGCCCCTTTTGTGCGCCAAAGTAGAACCGGAACAGAACCACCCTGCCTTAAACTCGGCTCGCCCCTTGGGCTCAGATCAAGCAAAAATCTTGTTCCCTTTCGGCCTCTGCACCCTCTCCCAGGGTTGGAGTGGCCTCCTCATCTACAAGCGTCTGGCATCCTCTACTCTTCCTCCTCCAGGAACCCTTCCTTCCCTGCGGAGACGTGAGCAGAGCATCCCTCTACCCTCCAAGGACAGCTCCCCATCACATTCCCAGAGAAGAGGTGTCCAGGCCTCAGCGGGCAGGGACGTGTGGAGAAGGGGGGCCCTGTGTGGGGAGCTCCAAGGGGAGTGAGCCCACCTTGCAGGAGGGGGACCTGGACATCCTGGCCGTCTATGGCGACGCCTCCCCCGTGCTTCAGCTTCACCAGGCTGTTGTGCAGGTTGGGCAGCCGGACCGTGACCGAGCGGGTGCAGACGGCGTCAGGGTCGTCGGCACACTGCCGAGAGAGGATGCGAGTGGCTTGGCCGCAGCCTACTAGCCCGGGGCCCACCACGGCAGGGAAAGGCCCTGGCCCCAGGGAGCCTCTGGCCTCCTCAGAACTCTGTGGCTGGGGTCCTGGGGTTGTACCGTGAGGATGTGCCACGCCTGACCCTCACCCACGCTGCCTGTAAAGGCCTCTGGTTCATCTTGTTCTTTGAACTTTCTGTTCCAAAGAGAATCGGGGACCAATCGGGGATCCTCACGGGGAGCCCTGAGCACCCCGGTCGTCCTCCTCTCTTCTCTGCTCTCCAGAGAAAAGTATTCACGTGTGTACGCCGCAGCTCAGAAAAGGCACCCGTCAGCCCCAGGAGCGAAGGCTTAGCCAGGGGGACGCAGGCTAGACCTGGAGGAGGTGCCCTTTCCGGAGCTGGCCTTGGGCAGGTGTGTGGGCGAGCAGGCAGGATGCGCTCCCAACACCAGGGACAGAACATGGGTTTCCAGGAGAACAGACTGGAAGGGGCCTCGGTGCTGCACAGACATGGCCACTCATGCTGCCCAGAGAGCCGCCTCCCGCCGCGCTCCTCACCCTGGCCGCCCCC